ACTTCTGGCCTGGTCACCACTCATAACCCCCCGCCAGCCTGGTCGCCTCATGCAGCCTGCTTGTTTAGTCATTTGGTTGTCCCTCACTAACCCCCCTGCCAGCTTGGTCGTAGGCAGCCATCTTGTGAGGGCGTGAGTGTTAATTTGCATATTACCTCTTTATTATGTAGGCTGTTGTATTTTAATTCTTTGATTGATGCCTGTCTTCAGTTATACTACACATTTCATAAGAACAGGTTCAGATTTGCAGCCACAGTGCTAGACACATAGTTTCTTAGTGTTTGTTAAATTAATGCATAAAAGCTTTGAAATTGGAAATACTAGAAGGATCTGGTTAATTCACTTGACTTACTATGAATGCCCCCTTAAGTTCCTGGGGTTAATTATAGTAAACATGACTAAGGGCAGGGCAGGTATAGAAGGTACAGGTCTTTAGCCCTGGGATTGCAGCTAGAACCACAACATGAACAGTCCTAATTCAGTCCTACATGTACCTGATGTTATATAGGGCTTGTGATGGATGGCCAGGGAAACTACCAGACACACTGAGCACCCTTTAATACTGTCCCCCATAGCATAGGGGGTGATCTTACAAATGAACTTATTGGTCAGCAGATCAAGCTCAAAGGAGAGATATTAGGCTGGAAGTACAAATCTGCATAGAGATGGTAATGGAAGGCATTCTTTTGGGAGTGAGCAGGGAAAAGAGTATAAAGATGATTGCCTAGGCCTGAGCTTTGAAACTTAACATTTGAACATCAGGTAGTAGGGGTGAAGACCAGCAGTTACTTGGATACTGCTTTGCTTTGGAGAAAAGGGAATTGAAGAGAAAATAATCAAAATTATTGGAATTGGGTATATATATAATTTCTGTGGCTTGTCTGCCCGTCTCATCTCACATGGTAGGTTCTATTATAATTAGTCATTGATAATAGAATTCTATTGTCCATTTGACTTTTGGGATATTTGACTCTGATTTATTCAGTAGTTATTGACACTGAACAATTAGATACGCTTTCTTATTTTTCCCATGCGATTTGCTTGAATGTGGCATATAAAATAACAATGCTTCCATGCCATTATCCATATCCCTTACTTGTTAACAGATTTGTTTATTCTTGTAAAGATGAATACAGCAAATTGTTTAATTGGCTTGGAGGCCTGTGTATTTTGGTGTTAAATACGTTGTTCCACATTTAAAAATACCTTGCAGATTTTCTAAAATGTAAGAGTACTGTGGTAGCTATCTTGTCTAATAATAAATAGCAATTGATATATTATGGAAGCTTTGGGAGCCATTCAGTTAAGAAATAGGTCTGCCTGATAATACCAAAGAAAATTTTACATCAGTAGGACTTTTTTTTTTAATAGCTTGTTCTTACTAGTTAGTTCTTCCCTAAGTTATGACCCGTTGACTGCACTGTTCTTTCCAAACCCAGTACAGGTAAAGTAACAGAAGTGCTACTGAAATGAGAATTTTCAATGCATAGACAATTCTGTTACCCTGCAAATGCCTTTTCTTATTTTTGATTTTTTCTAATATATATATGTATATTAAACAGAAAATAAGGGAAGGACCGAATAGAATTGTTACTATGCCTGCATTTTTGTGTAGAGTCTTCCATTTGCTTCTTTCACTAAGGATTTATTGAAATCTTGCTGTTCATATAGCACCACGTTGGTAGGTAATAGTGTGCTGGGAAGCTCAGAAAAAAAATGAAAGTCAGGATCTCTTGTCTGTAGGGCTACAATCTATTTTGAAACAAACAAGAAAAACGAACAAACAAAAAACAGAATCAGGCAGATAAAATACAAAATATTTTGTTTTCAACTAGATACCATCTCTCTGGAACGTCGGAACATTTTGTAATCTCTACAGTCATATATATAGTAACTTGGCTTATAAAACTACCCCTTAGGAGAGAGTGTAACACATTCAACTTTGTGCCTACAAGGAGAAAAACCTGAGATGTCTTAAGTTAAATTACAACAGGTCAGAGAATAGAAGGGAGAGACAAAAAGGGGTTCATCAGTTAACTGCAGTGCAAAACCAACAAAAGACTGCTCACACTCCCTGGTGTATGTTGGAATCATCTAATTAATTTCCAGGTGGCTATATCCAAGATTATCCAAAAAGAGAATAGCTAGGACTCTGCTGACCTATCCCAGAACTAGCCCTGCTTCACCTTCTCATGTCTATAGCTAAAGTAAATGCTTTCTCTTGCCTACTTGATGTATAAAAAATACTTGTAAAACACTAGGTGGTGGACATATCTGTCTCCATGTCCTCAGACCTGTCTTTCTGTATTTTTTGCTAGCAATGGTCTAATAAACTCTT